GGGGGGGGGGGGTTGACTCCTTGGGGCGCCCTGTCCCTGCGTGACAGCCACCGAGGCCCCTCCGGACGGCCAACCCCTTCCACACCACCAAAACTAAAGGGCCCCGGCTTAGCAGGCAGGATGAGCCTCAGGTTGTAGAATTAAAACGAAACAGAAGACGGCTTCCTTTGACTCAAACGGAGAAATGGGGCTGGGTGGTTAAAGGAGGCCGTTGAAACACACGGTTTCTTGGCTTAACTCCTCTGTTTTTATTTTCTAAATAAAGAACCTGGCAAAGAACTGGCAAGAACCTGCTTAGGTTGTCAAGTGCACATTTAAATCACTTCTGTCTGTAATTAAGGACAGGATCCGTTTTCTCTAAACGGGTAATTTGGAAGACGGACGCGTATGCACACACACTGTAATTCACTTTCACCTTGACTTTGTACAGATGTTACGTTTGTGTACTTGGTGAAAGTCACTTTCTCTTAAATGTAAGAAAACTATAAAATGATGGCTACCATCGCCATGAACACCCAAGCTGGGACCCCTACAGACTCACTGTCATCTCTCCCCTGAGCTGCTGGCTCAGCTCCAACAGCGCCCGGGGGACTGTCACAGGCCACCAGGAATTCTTTTCAACAGGGGGATTCAGTGTTGAAACTCAATCAGCTGTGGCAAAACCTGGCACAGCGACAAAAATTGGGGCAAATTCTTCTTACAGCTCTTTTAAGACCTTGATAGAAAGAGGACTGGGGACTGTTGGAGAAACTGGAAAAGCCGATTAAAACCATGAGCCCCTGAGAGGGTGGGCGGCTCCTGGGGGGTGGAGAATGGAGCCACTGCCTCCGCAGACGGTGACGATCCGGACAAACGGGCCGGTGCCCACTGACGCCCCAGCCCTGACCCCCGCTGTTCACTGAGCCAGCGCCCTGACCCCGCTGCCATCCTAATTTTGGAAGCAGAGGGAGGGGCTCCTAGTCCTGCTCCCAGGGGGCCTTCGAGCATCCACTGAGTGAACAGAGGTATTCGGAACAGACACCGGCACCAGGCGGTTTGAAAAAGCAATCTGTCATTTAAAATATCTATTCTTAAAAATGAGTTCAGGCTAAAAGAACTACTCTGTTGGGCAGCCTCCAACGACTGTGATTTGTACCAGAGGCCAATGGTCAGAGGCTGCTGGGTGTCAGGATGGCCCCTAAGCACACGTGGCACCATCTCAGGTGTGTGACCAAGGCCTGCTAAACAGGACCTGCTCCTTTCCCCACGTCCCAGCCCAAGCACTTGTCCTCCTGATTGAAAATGCTCCTTATTAAGACCCTCAGGAGCCACTGCTGGCCAGGCTCAGACCCCGAGTTCACGGACGGGAGCTGACCAGGGTCCGAACCTCGCCCTCAACCATGATAATGGATGAGAGGCGCTTCCAGAGAATCAGCAGGCCTCAGGAGAGTTTCAAAGTCCAAATTATTCCCAACTTTAAAGTGATAAACGCAACTCTAGGGGGCAGGGCACTGACTCAAATACCATAAAACCCAGAGCTTGCTTACAACTGTATTTGTATTTCCACCAATGAGGGGAGGCGGTGACTGACTTTCAGACCCTTGTTCAGCCCTTTTCACACAGAAGCATAGGACCGGTAATACCCACAACACAGTCACTTCCCCACAAGAACGCTGAGTGGGGTGTGGCCTGTCCCTCAGGAACTGTGACCCCTCGGGCTTGAATTTCTAATGACCTTCAACCTATTCCTCACACACAAGGAAGCAGTTTCCTCTCCAAATTTCCAAATTCACCTCTGCCCCCCCCACCCTGCCCCAGGGAGTGACTGGCCCTTCAGGCAGAGAATGACCCTGGGCCCTCACCCTACAGAGAAGTGGGGGAATCTGTGATGGTTTTAAGAAAAACTGGAAATTAGATTTCCCCCCCTGAAATCTCACAACTTTTAAAACATTGGCTCGACTTTTAAAATCTGGCCGTGTGAACCAAACAGGACTGGGTACGCAAGCTGGCCCGGGAAGGCAGCTGGCCGGCCCTTTCCAAAGCACCCAATTCAAATCTTCCGGCGAGCGGAGCCTCCGGAGGGGCCCTGGGGCGGATGTTCCCGAAGGGCCTGGCCCACAGGAAAACAGGGTCCCAGGGACAGGGGCTCCCTCACTGCCCCAGGACCTCGAGGTCATGAAAGAGTCACGGGAAAGCCCACAGCTCTAACTCAGCTGCCACCTGACTCGGGCTCCGGCTCAGGGTTATGAAAATAAGGAGCGAGCACCCGCCGCAGGTGCGCAAACACGTCCCTGTCCGCTTCCCCGGCTATTTCGTCAGGGGCTTTACTCCGTGCTCTGAACCGCACGCAGGCTCAGGCTTCCCGAAACCTGCTAAAACGTGCACAAACCGCAGGGAAACATTTTAAAACAGAACAGTTATTTGTATAAAAACATAAGCGCCTGCTCTTCCTTCACGCTTAACTCAGAGGTCGGGATTCTCGCTCGGCGGTGGGACCGTGAAGCTCAGGCCGAAAGCGGGGGGACCAGGCCGGGAAGCGGGTCCGGATCCCGCGGGCGGGCGCCGGGCAGGCACCTCGGGCATCCGCACCACGCGCCTCCCTGGGCTGACCTTGAGCAAACGTCACAGACCCGAGCGTGGGCCCTGCCCGCGCGCAGCCGGCCTGGAAGCGCCGGGGGGGGACGGACGGACGGACGGACTCCCTCACCTCCCTCTGCTGTCGCTCCAGCTCCTTCATCCGGATCTCTCGGGCCTCCGCGCGGGCCGCGCGCTTCGCCGCCAGCCGGGCCTCCGCCTGCAACACACGGGAAACTGCGTTAGAAGACAGGCCGGGGCCAACCTCAGGTGCACGGTGACAAGGATGCCGGTGGGAGAAACCCGGTCCCGAGGTGCGTAGGTACCCGGGGGCGCACCGCCGACGCGAGACGAGGGTCAGCGGCGGCAGCGGTTACAAGTAATAACGACGCCGCCGTCACGGAGCCCTCGCTATGTGCCGCGGGCCCCGTTCTGCGGGCTTTCGACACATTTTGCCATGTGCTCCTGCCACAGCGCCATCAGGCAGACACTGTTACCATCCCCAGGTTACAGATGAGGGAACTAAGGCACAGAGAGGGCGAGTGACTTGCCCAAGGTCACACAGCCCATAGGTGGCAGGGCTGGGCAGTCTGCCGTCCTCTGGGGCTACAACAGGCTAATAATGCACGAAGCCAAGCATTTGAGCAGGACCACAGGTCGCTGGTTCAACCCCTCCCTTCACCGGCAGGAAGCAGAGGCCGGGAGAGGCTGCCAGACAGGGCCAAGGGTGTGGGGCTGGGATTCTGACCCCGATTTCCAGGACTCCGGTCACCTCTCCCTACGCCCTGCCGCCCTCAGCCTCCCCTTCACCACCTGCAGCGCTGGGGGCCCGTCTTCTCTCAGGACCAAGGCGAGAAGCGTTACATTAAAAAAAATCTGTCAGCTGCGGCTGCTTCCCACACTCGGCTGGAGAGCATCTAAAACGCCAGCCAGGGCCGGCCAGCGCCCCAAGCCCGGCACCTGAACGCGGTTCCACGCGGCACAATCCTGTGCTCGCTCACCACTTGGGGAGGTGAGCGACGTGAGTGCGTCAGGGGCCGGGTCTCTGGTGTCAAATTCCATCTTCCTTCCCACTTAATTTTTCAGAGCTACACTCGCAATTCCTCCGCCAGATCTTCCAGACATCTCACTGTTCCCTGGATAACCTTAAAAAGGGGTTACTGGGGACGGCACCGGGCTTCCGGTGTGGTCAGCGAGCAGTGAGGTGGCCGCGTGTCGCGTCACACAGCGTCTCCCCGATGGCCAGGCCCCGCACCCCAGGCTCACATCTGGACAGCGGGTCCTGGTGCAGGGACAGCCATCGGCCCGCCCCATGCTTACACTGAATTACAAGTTCATTTTCTTTCTAAATTCTAATCTCAGTGGAAGCCTGACCACAGCTGAGCTATCACCGGTTGGCTGGCGTGTCCTCAGAAGGAGTTTAGTTTGTAACTCGGCTTGTTCCTGTGGTTCCTTTAACAATCCAGTCCCAGGCCCTTCAACTGAAGGTGTCGAAACCACAGCCACGTCAGAACTTGGACTCGTTGTCATTTTCAATTTTCTCAACACTGTGAGAGCAAAGCTGGAGGGGAGGGCAGGGAAAGGTTCATCGACTGACACTGGCTACAGTGACTTCCTCCAGCCCACGGATAGGCCAGTGAGGGGACAGGCCAGCAAGAGGTTTACGCCCAGGGCAGCCGCCTCCCCAGCAGCCCGCCAGCCCCGCGTCTGTGCCGCACAGACCAGGTGGCCACAGCCCGTCAGCTGGGGTGGGGAGGACCTGGGAGGAGGGCCGGGGAAAGAGGAAAGGGCTCCAGAGGGGGCCGAGGGAGACGGGAGAGTGGCGGGGGACTCTAGGGTGGTCCTGAGAGTCCCATCCCTGGTGTCCATGCTCCGCGCGATCTGCTCCCCCTGAGCGGGGGCCCCTCTGCGAGCACGATGGGTGCCACTCCCGTGGCTGGGTTGCAATCATGGCAAAGAGAAACACAAATCACGAAGGTCCCTCACCAGTGGACTCTGGGTTTGTCAAAAGCGGTTATTCCCGGTGGGCCTCAGCTAATCAGGTTAGATTTTTATAAGAGTCTAGAAGTCAGATTCCCCTGGAAAAGTAGCCCGCCCTGAGGGAGGGGCCTGTGCGGGGCCACCGGACAGGGAATATGGGTGGCCTCTGAGCTGAGCGCGGGCCCAGCCGACAGCCACAGGGAAGGGGAAAGGGTCACGCGCGAGGCCACAGGCTCGCTACAACCGACACGTCTGCAGGTCGGCATTTCAGCTGGCACAAAACTGCGTACGCCAGCTTTGAGAGTAAGACCATACCAGCAGACTAACCCCGACACCGGCCTGAGACGCCTCAAAGAAAAACGCCGGAGTCCTCACCACGCAGCTCATCCTAAGACCCTAATGTTGCCAAGAGCACGGAACAGCCCAACAGAGCACAGGAGATAGTGACCACTCCCGTGGCCGCTGTGAGGTCACCAGGGGACATACCTGATAGGATCGAGTCATTAAACGAACAAAAAACCAAAATAGCAACGGTCCACCTCAGCAATATGCAAACACGAAACCAGCCCTCGACAGTCACGTGAGCCTGGCCCTGCCCTCTGGCTGCCGAGGGTCCAGGGGCCGGGGGCCTCAGGTCAGAGCTTCCTGGGAGCAGGGCGGATCCTTTACCGTCTGACACGTGTATAAAATATAAACCTGCACGCTGAGGGTGCCAGAGGGTTTAAGTTTCCAAATGCCACTTTCACTTTATGTACAGTACTTCGCTTACATGGGACAGCCACTCACTGGCCACCCCCAGCCCAGGCCACCAGGCCAGGCCACCAGCCCGGCCACGTGAACTTGCAGCACCATCCCAGGCAGCCAGGAAGGACTTTCAAAGTGCATTTGGGTCCCCAGTCTCAGGATACAGACAAAGCAATCGGTGACCATGAACAAGTGACAAGTGCTACAGTGAGGGGTCGGGGTGGAGGGGAGCTTAACCCAATCCTGCTGTCTGGGGGGCTTCCTGGAGGACAGGACCCTAAGCCAGACCTCAAGGAGCAGAGGACAGAGCAGGGCCGGGGAGTGCGGGGCCAGGGCACGTGGCCGGGCAGGGAGTCCGAGGGCCGGGTCCAGGCCAGCGCTCAGCTCCGGTGTCTGGAACCTTATCTTCAAGGGGATGCGGAACCGCTGGAGGGTTTTAAGCGGGAACACTCGGGCCTGACATCTGATTGAGAAATATTGCTCGGGTTGCAATGTCGGGGCAGGAACAGGGTGGGGAGGGCGGCAGGAAGCCCGGCAAGCGAGGAGAGGCTGCCTCTGGGCGGGAGCCGCGAACAGGAGCGGGCGGGGCTGGCGGAACCGCAGCCCAGGAGGAGGCACGGCCCTGAGGCCACTGTGCGAGGTCAGGGGCCAAGGTCCCAAGGAGGCCCCTGTGGCCCCAGAAGTCAACCTCGGAGAAGAACCTCACCCACCCGGCCACCACCCAGAGGCTCCTGGCACAGGATGCTCAAGGACATCTGTCCCGCCCCCTCCCCCAAAGGCCCTGGGGGTTTCGTATTACGCACCCCTGTCCCCACCCTCAGGGAGATGACAACAGACGGGGGAACGCTGGGGGATCTATGGAATTTAGAAGACAAAGTATAAACTGCTCAGGGCTTCAGAAAGAAAAAGTTTAGACATAAGACATGGCCACTCCCCAGCCAGCCGTCGGCCGGCAGGAGGAGTATGGAGGCCGCTCCCTTCATGACTCCGCCTCAAGCTCCTGCTCGGACCTCAGGCCCTGGTCCCACAGCGGCTCCTGTGGGACGGTTGGCTCGGCCCCAGGTCCCAGGCCGCTCTCTCCCCTGCCTACAGGAGCCACCCGAGAGGTGGCCAGAAGCCTTCAGCGCCTCCCCTCGGCCCCAGCATCTCCTCAAGGGGCTCAGGCAAAGGCAGAGCTCCTGGCCCTGAACCACCCTCCTCTGCCCAGTACCATCCTTGTCGAGATACACACTCAGATGGTTGAGGGTGAGATGCTACGATTTTGCCCAGATTTGCTTTACATAACCAGGGTGGGGGGAGTGGAGCCGGGGGGTCTACGTGGCTGTCGGCCGACTGCTGCTGGGGCTGGAGGTGGGGCGTGGGGGTCTTTAAACTGATGGCCCTCGCAGTGTCCTTCACAGTGGCAGGGGCCTCGCCTCCAGCCAGCAACAGGAGTCAGAACCTGGGGGAGGGAGAGGCAGCCATCTGGGCTTCAGCTCGCCCCCCTCAGGTGTGGGGCCCTCTGCCTTCTGCCCTCCCATCTGCCTCTGGGTGTCTGACAGTTTTCAAATAATGAGCAGTTTTTTGAAGGAAGGAAGGGGGGGAGGAAGGAAATGAAAGTGCCTCAAACCCAGACTAGGAGGTGGCGGGGGTTCTGCTGCTGCAACTGTGCAGTGTTGTGTCTCCCACCCAAGGAAACCCGCCCCCCCCCGTTCTAATGCCGCCCGTGGGGTTAGCTGGGGCCGAGGGGGGCGCTGACCCAGCTGGGCTCCTCTGACGAGATGCAGGCTCCCTGCTTTCTCAGGCCCACCCAGCGTCACCGGGGAGTGCCAGAGTTCCCTGCGCCTTACAGGGGACAGGAGGCCCCTCCCCAAGGATCCCCTGGCCTGGCCAGGAATCCCGTAGAGGGAGCTTTATCTACGGGGTTTTCAATCAAGGCGCCCTTTGATGGAGGACATGGCTGGGAGGAGAGCAGCCATTTATCATCAAAGCTGCCTCATTATAATTTAAAAAGCTGAACCCTTGACTCCTAAGTTCCACTTTTATATTTTATTTGACTGCAGGAAATTGGTCAGCTCTCTGACACGCATGATAGGAGACACTAAAGTGCCCAGAGAGGCTCCGGTCTGAGCCCCAGGGCTCCTGAACCAACGGTTATAAACAGCCCGGGCGTCCCAGCAGGGTCTCAGGGGCCAGCCCTCCAGCGCCCAGCGAGTCCAGGCTGTGGAGGCCCAGACGACGCCACGGGCAGGGGCCCGGCCACGGGGGACACAGGTTGGCTGGGGAGGGAGACCACCAGAGTGGCGCTGCTCCCTGTGACCTGCCCTCTGGGGCGGCACAGACCCAGGCCAGGCCTGGCAAAGGCTGGAGAGGCCACGGGCACAGCAGGAGTCACCTTAGTGATGGTCCCTGCGCAGTGCCCAGGGCAGGTGACCGGTGGCTCTAACCCGACCGCAGGGTGGAAGACGTTTCCGGGCAGCGGGATACAGGCCTCAGGATAAAGTCAGGAGCCTGTCCTGCCAGTGACCCAACAGCACTGCTGGAGCCCAGGCATTCCAGAGA